AAACATTTTTAATCCTAAATCGGAATATGTCTAGAGGCTCTACTACCTTCACAATATGAGGACGCTTCCATATACGGCTCTATAAACTACAAAATATGAGGATGATCCCAATGATAGGGAATAAACCATGTAGACCGATTCCTATTAATGAGTTAAATAAGTTGGCCACATGGAGACTAAATTACAAGTGTAGTACAGGATTAAGCCACAAAATGTTTTAAAAGATTGCTTAAAAAAATTATTTTACAGTACATGCTAGATTGAATTTCTATGTGCTACCCCCTCTAGCATGTGAGCTCATTGAGCAGGGCCCTCAACCCCTGTGTTCCTGTGCATCCAATTTGTCTAGTTACAATTACATGTCTGTTAGTCCACCCATGGTAAAACGCTACAGAATTTGCTGTTTATATACATAATAAAATAATAATCATATCTGGATACGTTTAGGAGCTTTTCTGTCAGAATGTCAGCTGCTAGTTTTGAAGTTGATATCATTTTGCTTTTATTAGAACTCCTGGCACCCTGAATAATTCACTGTTCAGCTACATTAGTACAGATGAAGTTGTATGGTTCCATCTGTAATCAGAGGTACAAGGAAAGTATGATGCCATGTGGTGGGAACCCAGAGTATCATCAAATAGTATATGATTACTACTACAGCATGCCACAAAGTGTTCTATTGCAGAATTATTTTCATTTTGCATGCTGGTACATGTTTACCTGGAGTGTGCTTTGATGTCATTTACAAACCATTGTTTGCCTTTTCCAGTGATGTAGTTTTAAACAGTTCTGTCAAACTGTGAGTTCCATAATCCCACACAATAGTAACATTTCTATTAATAACATGCCATTAAAACAGTCTTATAATAAAAACATAATAGAAAGCAATTGTTAAAGGACCACTCTAGGCACCCAGACCACTTCAGCTTAATGAAGTGGTCTGGGTGCCAGGTCCAGCTAGGGTTAACCCATTTTTTTTTATAAACATAGCAGTTTCAGAGAAACTGCTATGTTTATAATAGGGTTATTTCAGCCTCTCATTGACAGCTGCTAGAGGCGTTTGCGTGCTTCTCACTGTGAAAATCATTATGAATGCTTTCCTATGAGACTGGCTGAATGCGCGCGCAGCTCCTGCCGCGCATGCGCATTCAGCCAAAGGGGAGGAGAGGAGGCGGAGTGGAGGAGGAGAGCTCCCCGCCCGGCGCTGGAAAAAAGGTAAGATTTAACCCTTTCCTCTCCCCAGAGCCAGGCGGGAGGGGGTCCCTGAGGGTGGGGGCACCCTCAGGGCACTATAGTGGTCCTTTAATATCCTCTGCTTAGACATCTCCTTATCTACACTAGAAGGGTTAGCATAACTTTTTGTTTTTGCAATAGAGATATATTAGATCTAGATGTACGTTTTCCCCCCCCCCCCCTTTTTTCTTTTCATTTTCATTGTTGCTGGCAAGTGACAGCTCTAGATTGTTTCCTATTGTTCTGGTTGTAAAACGGTTAACTGTTACCAGGAGGTATGTTTGTATATAATCGTTTCTGCTTGAATGCACACACTTCCTGGTTTGTTAACATCATCATGGAAACTGGCTTGCCCAGTCATCCATTTCAAAAGGTACATTGTTTTCATTTAATTATAAAGTGGTGTACCAGTTATATAAATATACCAGGTGGCACCTTATAGTGACAGGATGTATAGCTGGAGGCCTGGCAGTGACCTTTTGGTTTTTATGTTTATTTGTTTCTTGGAGCAGAGGTCTCAAACATCTTTTGCTAAAGCTCCTTCCATCTTACATGGTAATCTTTCAAGTATATTTACAGGCATGTGTCTCTCAAAATAGGCTAGTTCTTCACTCCACTGCTTGTGTAAGAATGACCTAATGGGAGCTGGATATATATGTCCTATTTATGTGCCCTCCATTTATTTGCCTTATTATTTTGTACAATAAGAGTAAGCTTGTAAGCTTACTAGACCCTACTGCTTCCATGTCATTAGGAGATTGGAAGTGAGGAGGAATTAACTGGAAGCAATTTGGGCACCAAAGAAAATTGGTAGATGGGCACATTAAAGGCCAATGGGTATACATTAAAAGCACACTCAACTGTCCAAAAAAAACCATAAACAAATAAATAAAAATCACTGTTTAGTAAATATACTCTCGGTTCCCTTGTCTGCAGTCCTCCAGTGGCCACAGTACTGTAGGATGCATTGCCGTTCAGCATCTCCACGCTCTGCATGGAGACACTGAATTTTCCTAATAGAGATGCATTGATTCAATATTTGGTCCCGCCCCCATCCCACCTCTTTGTCGATATCAGCCCTATGGGAAAGCATTGGATTGGCTAAAAACTGTAACTTCTGATGATGCCACCAAGGTGGCAATTTGGGTGGGGGGCCAGTGCCGGCAGATCTGAGCGGCAATGGAAATAAGGTGAGTTTGAACCCCGTCTAAGAAGGCTGGGGGGTGGGCAAGCCACCTGAATGGTGGTTTTAACACTATAGGGTCAGGAATACATGTTTGTGTTCCTGACCCTATAGTGTTCCTTTAACCCCTTAAGGACACATGATGTGTGTGACATGTCATGATTCCCTTTTATTCCAGAAGTTTGGTCCTTAAGGGGTTAAACGGGTACTCCAAGGGTCAGCTGGCTGCTGTGGTTATGATAGTAGGTGTACCTAGCGCCATTCCCCGGTAATGGGAAAATTGCTTTACAATGGTTTGTGCTCTTACCTGGTCCTGAAGGACGCAGAGTCACCTCTGAAGAAAGATTTACGACATTTGGCTTCTGCGGAGTTGATCTTGCCACTCCTTCACTGACTGAAAGCGTCAGCTGCAATTTGCACAGAATTTACATTAGCCAGCCCGCAACTCTAGTTCCAGGTTGGTTAATAACACCCCAATAACACCGCCGGAGGTGGAATTACGCCTCCAGCAGCAGAGGGTTTAAACTTTCTATGTGCACATACAGACATGGTGAAATTGAGGTAGACAGGGTTGTAGTCCATTAAATTTGCAACTCTTCTGTGTTTGTTTCCCCAGTATTAGCTGAGACACATCTAAATGACCAGTAATCACGTTTCTGTGTGCTTACATATAGGAATGTATGCATAAGATAGTTTGGTACATAGATGGTGCTTGGCGGCAGATGTTTTGCACCGCGTAATTTCGTGTCTCCTAGAAACTAATCTTTATAAAGCACAAGCTGATTCTTAGAAAAACAAACATTTACCAAACTGCATAAAATCCCTGACATCAGCATTAAGTAGCTGGCATTCAAAGTAGTGTTCTTTTGGAGAAACCTGAGTACTTTGTTATGGTACAGCCATGCTAAGATGTATTAAAAATACTTTGCTTTCATTCACTGCGTTCTATGGCTTTAATGAATATTTTGAAGTAATTACATGTAATGTAAATTGAGTAGAATTATACAGGAAGTGTTGTAGGAATAGTACATTTTTGTAATTTAAACTTTTGACAGTTATTACTTTGCGTTATTAGACAGCTGAGACTAAGAATTGAATGGATGTAAACATAGCATTAGTTCAAAATGTTTATACCAATTAACATAACTGGTCTGCATTTTAGTTTTGCAATATGTGTACTTATACATTATTTGCCCTTTATTCATACTTTAATATTTGGGATATTCAATTACCCTGGTGTGTATTCGATAGAAATTCACAAACGGAGGGTAGTACACTCACATTTAGGAATCCAGGTGCTTATCTTGGCCAGGGTTGGCAAAACCCAGTTTAGTAGATAAAATAAATTAGGTCTTGGCACTCAGGATTGCTGCAGGAAGGCAGGTTTATTGGAACAAAAAGCAGCAATCCTGAGTGCCTGGACCTAATTTATTGTGCTTGATAGAAACCCAAGTGGACCATTAAGGTTTAATGAAAGGTTAAAAGAATATTTGTCATGATTATTTTTAAGATTATTATTATTATTATTAAAAATTTTTAAATAAAATTGCACTATACTCCCTAGCCAGCGCTAGATGCGGTATGGGTGAAGAGCAAAGGGAACTACTGTGGGAAGTCTTTTCTGCTTTCCTTTGTCAGTCAATGTCTTGACATGCCAAGGTATTGACTGACAGCTGGGAGTAAAACCTATTTTTAAATAGACTTATCTCCTAATCTATACATTTGCTAGCAAAATTGCCTGCACAATGTATAGATAAACTCTTATGCTCAATCTAATGAGTCCTTATTCCCTATGTGCACATATATATATATATATATATATATATATATATATATCTATCGATTATCGCTATATATATGTGCAGCAGCTGGCCCCCCGGCTACCTGTTACCGCAGAGGGGGCCCAGCACACTCTGTCCTTACTTTTAGCTCACTCTCTCTCTAACTCTAGAATTGTCTGATGGGCTGTGTCTGTGGTAACAGGTAGCTGGCAGCCCCACCATTGCCACTTTGGACCACCAGGGAATGGGAGATCTCCCCTCCCTGGACCAGGCAAGGAGCAGGAAATACAATGCATTAAAATTAACACAGATTAACCAATTTATAATATTATCATTAGAGATGTCGCGAACCGTCCGCGAACGGTTCGCCACGAGCTGTTTGTGGCGAACTCCGGTCAGCTGACACGTCCCGGCCAATCTCCAGCAGACCCTCCCTCCCAGACCCTCCTACTTCCTGGACAGCATCCATGTTTCAACATGCCATCAAAACGTGTATCACCAGTATATGAACATTTTTATTATTATTAGGTAGGTCTAAATGAAAAAGAAAGGTATGAGATGATGCTCGAAATGTGAGACCCGTGATTTCACCAATAACTCGTTCAAAATGATGTTTTAAAGGCAGAAGCTTTATACAACCCCACCATATATGTAAGATCTTAACCATATACCATCTATGTAACATCTTAATGTAATTTTCATAGATGATAATTAGAGATGTCGCGAACCGTCCGTGAACTTCTCGCGAACGGTTCGCGGCGAACTCCGGTCAGCTGACACGTCCCGGCCAATCTCCAGCAGACCCTCCCTCCAGCAGACCCTCCCTCCCAGACCCTCCTACTTCCTGCTGTCCAGGAAGTAGGAGGGTCTGGGAGGGAGGGTCTGCTGGAGATTGGCCGGGACGTGTCAGCTGACCGGAGTTCGCCGCGAACAGCTCGCGGTGAACCGCGGCGAACCGTTCGCGAGAAGTTCGCAGACGGTTCGCGACATCTCTAATTATCATCTGAAAATTACATTAAGATCTTACATAGATGGTATATGGTTCCGGCAAAAGTATTCAAATTTCAAAAGAATATACATAATATCTGTTGGCGATGTAATTTAAACCCGGGTACACATAAACATATATGGTGGGGTTGTATAAAGCTTCTGCCTTTAAAAAATCATTTAGAACGAGTTATTGGTGAAATCACGGGTCTCACATTTCGGGCATCATCTCATACCTTTCTTTTTCATTTAGACCTACCTAATAATAATAAAAATGTTCATATACTGGTGATACACGTTTTGATTGCAGCAAAGATATGTATTGCTAGATGCTGGAATACATCTATAGTCCCTTGTTGGACTGAGATACAGATTCAGGTGAATTATCAACGTTTGATGGAAAAAGAGGTATATACTAATCTTGGTAATCTTGAGATGTATTATAGCATATGGAAATTTTACAGTGGAGGACTAGATGGAATTCCCCTTGACCCCCATCGACGATGCCCTAGTGAGTAAATAGTTTATTTGGCTGGTTGTATACATGAGGAAGTTTGTTACCCTACTTTTTCATGTAATTAAAATAGTTAGTACATAGAGTTGGAATGAATGATTGGGGAATTTCACATGATATATATAGTACACTATGGCTACATTTAGATTCCCCAGAAAAGGCATAGTGTAAGTTGAGTAACATACAATACTTAAAGATAACTTGAATATGAAAATACAAATAATGATTTGGTATTTGATAATGATGTCCATAAAGACTAAGATAACATGGATTAAAAAACACCAATTTCCGATGTAAAAATACAAAAAATGAACATACATGACACTAACATAAACTCTGCTTTTATTATATGCACTACACTGACACACACTCCGCGTTCACTGTACACACACTACACACACTACAGCCACTATACATTTAAACACTCTGCATTCACTATACACAGACACTGCATACACAGACACTGCATCTAATACACACAAACACCACATACACTACTCAAACACCACTACATCCACTACACAAACACACTCTGTATTCACTATACACACTACATACACTACCCAAACACACTCTGTGCTCACTATACACACTGCACCTGCTGCACACACTTGTTTCTAATACACACAAACACTACATCTATTACACAAATGTAAAATTTGCATCCACTATGCACTCTGCATCCACTTTACACACGCACTATGCATCCATTACACACATTCTAATTACATCCACTATACACACACCACATTCAGTACTGCATCCTTGTGGGCGGACTCAGGCAGAGCCCTGTGGGAGGACTCAGGGGTGGGCCCCTGGGCCCAGACCTTAAGCTTTGTCAGGGGCCCTGAGCAAACGCATGGCAGGTTCCTTTTAAAGATGACTTCCCTTACATAGCAAGAGTAAAGGGTATATTGCACGGAATATTTTAATTTAAATAATGAAAAAACACAAACACAGTTTTCTTTTTAATTTGGGTTTTGTGACTGTAAATGACCTATATGTAATGTTAAATGCCAGATAATGACATATGGCACATTCCCCTAAAAAGAAATTCTCAAACAGGACCATAAAAATTTTGTATACATAATTGAAATAGTAGCCATCGTCGTACTGTTTTTGGTGGAGAATTGATGATTAAAGGCTTGGAATTGGGGACATTTTAGCCACCCAGTTTGGCAATTATAATTTTTGTGCATAAAGCTGTCTCTTTGGAACATTGTCGCTTGTTTGACAGCTATAGTGAAAGAGGAATCAATAACATTATAAGTTATTTGCATTTGCAGATCATCTGCTTGTAAGAATTAGCTGCCACTAAGTTGGATGACATTGAAAAGGGTAGGAAAAAAAAAGGGAACTGTGGCTATGAGTTTAAGGGGCAGTTTGTGTGTTCAAGAGTCCTGGTTTGTTTTTGTGTGTGTCTCTCTCTCTCTCTCTCAATATATATATATATATTTTTTTTTATTATTTTTTTTTTATTTTTTTAAGGGGTTATCCACTATAGACTGAATTGTAGCACTTTGAAATCTGAATGGCGAAATTGAGGGTCAAGTAGCTTATCTGGAAACATTCTGCATCTCTGCTATAGTTAGCCTGGTTCTTTTAATATTCATTTTAAATTTTCTAATATTTTAATTCTAGTTTTGCCAATAAGACCAGACTAGATTCTCAGGGGTGGTAGGTTTTGTAGCCAACCCAATAGTAATTATGTTTTCTATTATCACAATTCGGTGCCATGACAGCACTGTCCCATATTAACTACCTACAAGGCTATGGACAGCAGAACTGTAATCTGCAGAGCTTTCATATTAAAATGATTAAATCATAGGTTCCTCCTTAAAGGGACACTGTAGTCGCCAGAACAACTACAGCTTATTGCATTTGTTCTGGTGAAAATAATCATTCTCTTCAGGCTTTTTGCTGTAAACACAGTTTTTTCAGAGAGAATGCAGTGTTTATATTACAGCCTAAGGATAACTTCACTGCCCACTCCTCAGATGGCTGTAATAGGTGCTTCCTGGGGCAGTCCTGCCTAGTATGCAGCACTGCCATTCAGTGTCTCCACCCTCTGCATGCAGACACTGTACTTTCCTCATAGAGATGCATTGATCCATTTAATCTCTATGTGAAAATGCTGATTGGCCAGGGCTGTGTTTGACCTGTGCTGGCTCTGCCCCTGATCTGCCTCTTTGACAGTCTCAGCCAATCCTATAGGAAAGCATTGTGATTGGCACAGACCACCATTTCTGATTATGTCAGCAGACAGGGGCAGATCACAGGCAGACAAGGCAGAGTCAGCAGCTACAGACTTTGAATACAAGTATGAATTTACTATATTTACGGAGGCAAGAGGATACCAGCGGGGCTAGATGGTGGTTTTAACACAATAGGGCCAGGAATACATGTTTGTGTTCCTGACCCTATAGTGTTCCATTAATTATATTTTTTCCTACTATTTCAATGAACCCACTGGCATCTTGTAGCTCACGAGTGCTTTTATAATTCTTTCTGCTGGTTTAAAAACTCTATATATCTATGATTACCATACCAAACCAGTGATCATGATTCAGTTTGGAGTCTAGGATTTTCCCTTTGCTGCTCATATTAACAATTGTATAAAACAAATCAAGGTGCATAAAATCAAATCTGGGAACCAATCATATATGTAATATTTGAATAGTTTGGACCCTGTTAATTGCTTTAAGCCATCGTCAAATACTATCCTGCATTAAACGCGTTTTTTTATTTTTTATTTGTTTAATTAACACATACAAACTGGCATGTGTGTCCAAAGACTGGAACTTGATATTTTTGGTCTGTGGCCTAGCCATTAAAAAAAATGTGGCCACTATTCTAATGCAGGATTATACTCTCACATTGGTAAGTACTGTGATAACTTTTTGGCTCTTTATGTAAAAACGACATGTGCTACATGTGGTCTTCTACACAAAGTTGGCCCAAAAATATTTAGTTGTTCTGCATTCCAGGATTTTACTAGAAGTGAACAAAATGTAATTTTTCTTATTTCTCTTATATCCTGCAAGTTCAAACAATAAAAATACATGCCATGTTACTTCCAAAGACATAAGGTGCCATCTGTTCATTGAAAACTTTGCAAAGTTTGTTCAGTATATAGTTATGTATTTGATCTGCGAGTGGGGGAAGTAAATTTAATTGCGTGGGTGGTATAGTTGTTACTATATCAATTAATACGTGCAGAGTACTGCTGTTTGGTAGTAGAACCATACAGTTTTAAAACTGTGTTCAGTACAAAAAAAAAAAAAGTATATAAAAAAAAAAATTACTACTGTAAGCCTAGTTCCTGTCTGAATCAATCTTGGCACATCTGTCTGATCCAGACCGTAAACAGGATTAGAACAGGATTTATCTGCTTGACGCTAATTGTGCCTGCAATTTTTAAACATGCTTCTTTCTTTTAATACTGCATGGAAAAAAAAATCTCCTGATAATTCTTAACCTGTATATTACAGGCAGAGATTTCTTTTGCATTTTAAGGCAACGGGGTATCCAGCACATTTGAGTTTAAAATTAGTAATCTAATCTCCTAATAATTAAGAATATTAAATTATGTTTGAATATAATGCCCACTGAGTAAAACCTGCGGGGCACCATTGCCAATAAATTTAAATATACTCATCTGTAAAAGGAAAACCACTGTTTGATTGTTAATAAACCGAAATATGTTCTAAACGTTTACAGTATTTAGTGTTTCGAGAGAACAAATCTCTTTAGAAGGTTCTATTAGCGTTAATGGAGTAAAGATATCCTGCACATGGCAGCAAGTCTTATGTCAACGGGAGTCTAAGTAATCAGTTCTGTCAAAAGAAATTTAGAAAATGTTTCTTTTTTTTTTTTTTAAATGTTCATGTGAATAATTTTTTTAGTTTCATGGTGGGAAAATCTTAATATAATTTGTAATCTAAATTTGACTAAGTTAAACATCAGCATATCTTAGATATGACAAAACAAAGCAGATTTTGTTTTTCATTTTATGCAGAGATCTACAGTTGCAAGAAAAAGAATGTGAACCCTTTGGAATGATATGGAATTCTGCACAAATTGGTCATAAAATGTGATCTGATCATCATCTAAGTCACAACAATAGACAATCACAGTCTGCTTAAACTAATAATACACAAAGAATGAAATGTTGCCATGTTTTTATTGAACACACCATGTAAACATTCACAGTGCAGGTGGAAAAGTATGTGAACCCCTAGACTAATGACATCTCCAAGAGCTAATTGGAGTGAGATGTCAGCCAACTGGAGTCCAATCAATGAGATGAGATTGGAGGTGTTGGTTACAGCTGCCCTGCCCTATAAAACACACACCAGTTCTGGGTTTGCTTTTCACAAGAAGCATTG